TAAGCAAGCTAACACCTGATTGCTCCAGTACATTTCAAATGGCAATGAGTGTTACTTCATTATGACCGTATAGCATAGCACTGACAAAATTGCAGCAACTCTGTTTTCCTGGTATTGGCTACGGTTGCACATATTAAGTGCCAATGCGACCATGGCTTAAGTATTGCGTAAACAAAACCAGTAAAACTAAATCAGAGGACAGTGTATATATAAATGAACTTCTGGGTAACTGGTATCAAGCATCATGTCATTTTCTTTTAATGTCCTAAAAGAATTGGCAACAGCAATTATTATATAGAACAAGACATGAGTTGGGTGCCTTAAATCTAATTATCAAATGACCAGGCTCATGTCAAAGTTAGTCCCAGTCCTACATAAAAATAAGATGTACTTTATTCTGTACTCCAATACAATCACTGATTTGGCAGATGTATACTTTGAACTCATTTCAATTTCATTTTCTTTTAGAAGTCTTCAATTGCATTGCTTTCCTGACTAGCTTTCCTTGCATGCTCTTAAAAAATTGTTTAGGGTTGTTCAGAAAAATTTTCTTTTCATTCCTTAAAGTCTTTCTTTCTCCTTTTTAACTAACACTATAAGCAGCACTACCAGCTGCTTATACTGCTAAAACACAAAATCAAAATCACACTTAGACAGACCTTCCTTCACCTTGATGAGTGTCAACCTAACTGCAAGCTTTATAAACAACTTCTGTTGTGCACTGTTCTCATAATACACACTGATATAAACAATTCATGCACATTTCTTCAAATATCCAGGCTTGATCATTAACAGTCACTTCAGACTGAATGGATATGCCAATAACAAGTGGCAGTTGTCACAGGAATGGCAGCAAAGAGCATACTGATGAGTGCAGCAAACCAAAACACAGTTTACTTTGAACTTGCACTGTTCAAGAGATGACAAATTCTTTTCCTATCATGAAGGTATTAATAAAAAGACAAATTATGTGCATATACTGTATTACAAGATCACATACTACAGAAAAATTGAACTACAGTATTTACAACAATTCCTTTATATACCTTGCAGTGGAAGTGAAGCCCACAAAACTATTAACAAAGTATACTGTACAAAATTCAAAAATGTTACACCCAAAGCATTTACAGTTTCTTTCAACAATGATTTTTGCATCAATTTACACTGAAAACTTACACATGGCACACAACATACAAATCATATGTAAACTTTGACATTTCTTGCAATATACAAAAAGTGCAGCTGGATCTTAATTGCTATTTAGGTGATGCATCATATCTGACCTGTCCAAGCAAGCAAGGCTACATAAGAGGAGGAGGAGGAGGAGGAGGAGGAGGAGGAGGAGGAGGAGGAGGAGGAGGAGGAGGAGGAGGAGGAGGAGGAGGAGGAGAAGGAGGAGGAGAAGGAGGAGGAGGAGAAGGAGGAGGAGGAGAAGAAGAAGAAGAAGAAGAAGAAGAAGAAGAAGAAGAAGAAGAAGAAGAAGAAGAAGAAGAAGAAGAAGAAGAAGAAGAAGAAGAAGATGTCGACGAAGGAGAAGAGGGGAAAGAATACTAATAAGAAAAAAGAGGAGAGGGAGGAGGAGAATGACGAGGAGGAGGAGGAGGAGGAGGAGGAGGAGGAGGAGGAGGAGGAGGAGGAGGAGGAGGAGGAGGAGGAGGAGGAGGAGGAGGAGGAGGAGGAGAAGGAAGAGGAGGAAGAGGAGGAGGAGGAGGAGGAGGAGGAGGAGGAGGAGGAGGAGGAGGAGGAGGAGGAGTAGAAGAAGGAGGAGGAGGAGGAGGAGGAGGAGGAGGAGGAGGAGGAGGAGGAGGAGAAGGAGAAGGAGAAGGAGAAGGAGAAGGAGAAGGAGAAGGAGAAGGAGAAGGAGAAGGAGGAGAAGGAGAAGAAGAAAAAGATGTCGACGAAGGAGAAGAGGGTAAAGAATACTAATAAGAAAAAAGAGGAGGAACAAACAAAAAGAAGATACATTAACCCATTGCCACCGGGGAAAATGAACAAAAAATGGGGAGAATGCAGTACTCATTTTTTATATTTTTGTGAAATATCTCTGTCCATAGATGGCTCAGCTAGTCCTGATTTCACCTTTCCTTGAATTGGCGGGAAAAAATGTATTTTTACTAGTGCTATAAATATAGATGGTGTTATTTTTAACAGCAAATTAGGATAACGTTCAATATTTTCGTAAATCGATGAAAAGGGTGAACGGGGGAGACAGGCAGTACTCGTAATTGGCTCATTGGATACTTAGTACAAGTGTAGCCATCTATGTGTAAAAACAATCGAACAAGTCGCCTCACAGTGGGCATGGCATGTACATACTGCCATCCCCGGCGGCAATGGGTTAAAAAGAAAACCTCAAAATCTTCCAGCAAAGCCTACTTTGTGTAAACCAAGTTGTCTTGCCATTAAATCTACACAGGGTATTAGCACTGATAACATTTTTGCAAGATGAATTTAGACACAAAAAAATATCCTTCCTTTACCTATAAACCTCATCACATTA